TGTAAAAAATATTTTTGATTTTAGTTTTCGTACGAATTTACTTTAACATTAAACAAAATAAAATAGGTTTTCTGGTTTATGGTTGCTGCAACTGTATCGTCGTCTGTCTTCTGCTAGCCGTCAGTTTTTGTTTATGTTGTCGTTGGTTACCATTAATGAATTTTGGTTACTTTGTGGTGCCTCTAACGCTCTTTTTATTGATTGCCATCCAATTTGCCTCAATGGCGTCGCCTAAACTCCTGAGTCTTGAATTCGAGGTGTATGGACGTGTTCAAGGTTTGTTTTCTGAATAAGATACTGTTTATTACTACAGAGGTAGAGGTTATAGAAGTTTCTGGCATTATATTGTCGGAAAATATAATTCATATTTCTCATTACAATGTGGCCCACTAATTCTTGACATTAAACTCTTTTCTCAGGTGTTTTCTTCCGAAAGGTGAGTCAAAGAAGTATTTCATATTTGAGTATAACTGACCAAGGGTGTTTTTCTTTACGCAACACAGTAAATGAAACTATATTTAGAAATAACTATTGAAGAAATCCAAATCATCTGTCTTTTTCAGTACACCCAAAAGCAGGGTAAGGAGCTGGGTTTACGTGGTTGGTGTATGAACACACCCAAAGGCACAGTTTTAGGACAGCTTGAAGGGGAAGTCCAGCAAGTTGAAAAAATGTATGTATGTACTACTTTACTGTACCGTACCTCATTCTTTTATCAAAGATTTCAAACACAAACTTTTTATAACAGGAAATATTGGTTGCAACGGACTGGTAGCCCTGAATCAAGTATTGACAAGGCCGAATTTAGAAACGTTAAAGAGATTGAATCATATACTTTTACCTCGTTTGAAATTCGGCGTTGATTTTGCTTGATTATTATCTTTTCCCTGCAATTGTGATATACATAGACTTTACCAAATTACAACATTGCGTATTTTATTCCCTATTGTCTCATCTCAACTGTACAAGACACCAAAAAAGGATAATTCTACAAGAAAATTAATTTTTATTGGCTGATGAAGTACGTCTGTTTTTTGCATTCTTATTTCAGGAAATCTTGGCTTCAGAAAACTGGAAGCCCCAAATCAAGAATTGACAAAGTGGATTTCAAATTTGAGAAACCAATTTCAGATTTTACGTTTATAGATTTTTCTGTGCGTCGATGATACCAGCCCCTCTTCCTGTGCTATTTTGTTTTATTTATTTTGCCTTCTACTCCAAAGTAAACAAAATATTATTGCACAATTTCGATCTATAAATTATACCTAAGTTCACATTTAAGACTGAAAACCTGACTGACCCTTCTTGTATTTATTTAATTCAACTAAATTATCCTTTCCATCTTTGTCTTTCATCATTTCTCTGTACTTGTTTTATATGACACAGTTCCATTCTAAGTATCAATTCCAGTATATTCTGTCACCAAACATTTCCTATGTCTTGTCGTTTCCTGAATTAAAAATAAAAGGGTGAAACAAGGAATTTAGAAATTTTCTGAACCCTACCATTGAAATTAGACCAACAGACTACGTCCTCGGCCTCGCCGCGCTCTGACTTTCATGCTCCACGCTCCTCGGGTTAGGCAACCCATCGCACACGTGTGGCCACCGCTGTGCCTACGACGGCTGTGCTCTCCAGCTCCCCACCCAAGCACTCTATCACGGGCTAGCTAGCGCTCTGTCGGGCCTGGTTTACGGCGTCCCAAAATGAAAATTCGAGCGCGACTTTATGGTACACAATCTTGGATTCGTACCGAACGCAGCTGGTGCAAACAAGTCACGCCGTTCGGTCCAAGTCCGAGATATGGAACCATACCCAAGTCATGCTAAAACTTTCATTTTGTGTGGGACACCCTTCCTAGCCAGGGTGCTCCACCGCGCTCAATTTAAACACTCGCGCCACACCGCGGCGGCCCGCCGGTTACCTATGGGCGGGTAACAACGAGAGCGACGAGGACAAACAAACGCCCCCGCCCGTCCGGCCCGCACGCGTGGCAGGCAGTTGTCTCATTATGAAAAGAAGACACATGTGTTCGCGGCAGATGTGGCATGGATTCGCTCCTCGGCCTGTTCGTGTCAGACTGCAGTCTCGCCGATAGACAGAGTTACACCGCACTCTACAGCAAACCGGAAATGTCGACGGACGAGTCCTTCCCCGGTGGCGGCGTCGCCGTCCCCATCGACCCCACGCACAAGGAGCCTGCGGCGCCGGAACCGGTGAGTCTTTTTGGACGTCCAGATCCGCGGTTAGTTAACACGACCCACTCGGTCAAGAAAGAGACTTTGCCGACGCGCCCCCGCCTGCTCCTAGCAGGCGACGATCTTTGACCCGAACTGGAAGTGGACTAACGGCACGCGGTTCTCGAGCTAAGCACTCCTCGGCCGTTGCCTCCCGAGTAGGCTCTACCTCAGAGGCCTTGGCTTCGATTTGATCAATCAGCTGCCTAGATGCCTCTGCCGTGCCACGGCCTTGCCAGGCCGGCGAGCTTCTAGCGAGCCGGCTTTGCTGCTAGGCGCCCCACCGAGCTCGCGCGTAAGTTGGGTTGCCTACCCAGACCAGGACAGGAGCTTGACCAAAGCCGCCCTGGTCCGACCCTTTCGCGGCCCCTCTGGAGTTACCACACGGTGAGGGAATGGGGGGGGCAGGAGAGATCCTGGAGGAGAGAGGGGAGGGGCACTATGAGCTAACGGTGAGCAGGGGGAGGGGAGGGGACGGAGGGGAGCAGACGCTCTCCAGTGCGCGGCGGCACGCGAGGCAGCCGTGTCGCAGTTATTCATGTTTCAAAAGGCACTCGGCGGCACTTATCATTCGCGAAAAAGGGACGACAGCGAGGACGGGCGGTCGACTCGACGGGCAGACGGGACTCCCCCCCCCCCCCCCCTCCTCTAGCCCGGGTCCCGGGGATAAGCTGTCGTGACACTCGAGCGGACTCGTTGCGCTGGTCCGGGTCGGACGTTCCTCCTCCGCGGCGGGCTGGCGGGGCGCGGGCCCCGGGCGAGTTGCGCCCCCGAACCCTTTTGACGGGCCGGGCCGGGCATATGAGTCCCAGTCACTTGAAGAGAACGCATAGCGCGTCGTGCGGATCTAAGTGCTGCGTGAGTGCCTCGTGACGTGGCGCTATCGCGGCCGATTGATCACACCGGAGCTCTGGCTTTCACACGATCAGCGGCGCTACCCCCGCCAAGTGCATTACCCGCCGATAGCTCGCTATCACCGCGCACACTTATTACTCACTGAACACCTCCATCCACCTCCGATAGGGGCGTCGCCATTGGCAGTGCGTGCTCGTGCAACAACTCAACACGAACGACACACACACATACAAACAAAATACATTTACTTTTACTGTAGGGCTTATTTAAATTTTATCTTAAAATATTTTTTTCGCGATTTTTTTAAAACGCAGTCTAATCTAGCATTCCGACTCGAGTCGCGTCGGGGAGCGGAGGCCCCAAAGCGCGTAGTAGTACTTTGTAGTACGCACTCCAGGCGCTTAGCGTCGCGTCGCGGGCGGAGAGTGAGGTGAGTGCTTCAAAGGGGTGCGCTGCCGCGCGATGCGCCGGCCCAGCCCAGCCGCCCTGGCCCGGGCCGCGGGCGCCCCTCTGTGTGTGGGACCGGCGCGCGGCCGCCGCCAAAAGCGCGAGATTGGCTCATTCGCGAGTGAAGCACACGGCGGCGGTGCGCGGCGGCGGTGCGCGGCGGCGGTGCGCGGCGGCGGTGGCATCGCTCCTCCTCTTTTGTTCACCCTCTTTTGCCGCTTGTATCGCGACGAGTTGCGCCCGCCGCGGAGCGAGTTTTTGGCCAGGGCGCGGGCGGGGCTGCTGCCAGGGCAGAGCTCGCAGGCTCGGCGTTGACGTCGTCGTCCCCGCGCCGCCGCACGCGCGCCCCCCGCAGTGCGTCGCGGTGCAGATCTGATCAGCGAGTATGGTGCCCCGCCCTATCCTAGACATCTGTCGCTGCGCCGCGCTATGGGCTGCACTAGACCGGCTAGACCTAGAGCGCGCGCCATTGTCCCGGGCGCACTGGCTGTGGCTAACGCGCTGCAGCCCGAGCCATCCGCTGATTGCAGTCCCGTTTGTCTCCCAGACGATATGCGGTGGAGCGAGTCCTGCGTGCGACACACAACCTGCGGGTCTTCCCTCCAGGGGGACCCCGGCGCTGCTCAGTAGTTGTTCAAAAACCCCGTGCGCTTCGCGGAGGGGAATCGGTGCATGGTGGTTGCCCTCGGGAACCGTGCTTCCATGCACTTCTCACGCAGGATGATGTGGTCCACGGCGGACTCACAAACCTGTACATCGATGACAAGCACTAGTAGGTGCAGGTGACCTGACCTCTCTTGACTTGGCTCTTGATAACGGGCTTGATGAAAGTCTCCTTGCGCCGGCGCTGGAGAGGATGCGGGGGGCTCGCCAACCCTGCACCCCCCTCCCCCTCCTCCCCAGCAAACCCCACGTGTTTCTTTGAGGCTTTGCTGCAGACTTCTACCCCTTTTGCCTGAGCTGCCTTCCCGGCGTCGGGGTCTTTGGCGCGCTTAAGCCTCACGCCTTTCTGTTTGCGCTGCTCTCCGTTCGCGTCCGCCCCCTCCCCCCCCCTCAACATTCCCCAGCCGAGCTGCGGCTGCACCCCTTCGCCCCTGCAGAGGCTGACGTGCTGGCGCCGCCGCCACTGACCTGGGTCACGAACCCCCCCCCCC